TGCTCAGTGAAAAAAAAAAAAAAAAAATCTCTTGAGTTATAGCTGTGCAACCAAACAACAGGCAAATTTTAATTTTCTCTAAACTCTTGCCCAGTTCTGTTAGTTCAAAAGTTTCCATCTGGGTTTAGCTTACACAGAGCACCATCAGAGAGTACTTGTGTTACAGCTCCAGTAGAGCTGATGCTCTACCTGTGGCACTTGCCCACTTGAATATTCCTGGTCCATAAGGCTTTGACCCATCTGATTTTCTATCACATGGATCAGGAATGACTGACCAGGTATATTCTCCGCTGAGAACCCTAACAACTTCTTACACAACTCCAGCTGTAAAGCAGAAGTTGTCCATGACCTCCCTAGGAAGTCCCACTTTAAACACAGTAATCCTGTACTCTTATCCCTCCAACAGAGGCATGGGATGGAGTGAAAGGGGGGAGAACTCTAAGGCAAGATCCAAAACAGGTGCTCAACTCACACCTGAGCTTCAAAATACTCCTTCCTTTATAGACTAAGGCTACCACTTCAGATTTTCCCAGACATCCTGTTTTTACACCTAACACTTTCAAGTAGAGAGAACTCATCCATTGATTTGGGATTTCCAGGTATCAGGCAGTCCAGAGCAAGAGCAGCATCTGACAGGTTGACACACCTGGAAGCCCAGAACAAGCACTCAAACCAACTGCACATTCAGTGTCTCCAGTGCAGAGATTAACACATCCAAACTGCACTGGGTTTGCACCTTGTGTGCTGCAGCTGTGCTCCAGACCCCAGGAAGATAAGTCAGAGCTGCCCAGCATCTGGAATGTGCAGGACAAACACTATCAGAATGTCTGGCACAGCCTGGACCCATAGGCCCAAGCTACTTGTATATACACTCACACTGTGATATGAAATACAGGAGCCATATATATATATACATAGTTAGAGTTGAGGGAAGGATAATGACACCAGGAATGTTCCCAAATACATCTCCCTAAGTTCCCAGTCAAGCTCCAATATCTGCAATATATCTCTGTAACTATGACATTCACTCTATACCTTTAATTTTTCCCTATAAAATTCCAGGTATACCTGTCTGTATGGCAAAGACAGTATTTCTGACTTGGTCCATAACACTGCAGTGCATCAAAAATCAGATTTTGAGCATCTGTTCAGCAGCTGCTAAATGAAAAAGAAAGTTTTCTGTGGCTGGTGGAAATCTCTTTTGTTTCAGGGCCTCAGGGTTGAGGGTTGGTTTTTCATTGCCATCAGAAACTTCAGTAAGTGAGGCTAAAGTCGCCAGGATTTCTTTTGTCTTCAGAGAAATGTCCTTGAGGAGCAGAAAAAAAACAAGCAGCCATGAATACACTATTAGGTATTATAATGTTTTCACTGCTAAAAGAAATCAATAAAGAACAAAAAAGGAAATAATGATCAGTAAATGGCTCATTTTAAATAAAGAACACATTTATTTTAATAAAGTGAAGGAAGTGAAAAAAAGCATTATCATAAAGTCAGGCTTCAGGGCTGAGAAGCCTGATCTCAGCAGGACTTTTTCAAGGTATTGGCAATACCTTTGACAAGGCACTGAGCAAAAACCATGCCTTGTGGAAATAAAACTGGGAATCCACTCTTGTAGTCAAGACAATTTCTGAAGCTTCTTCAGCAGTGAGAGGTAATATAGACCAAGTATGTCATCCTTAAAAACCTCTTTGATGACTAAAACTGCTCATTTGCAAAAAGGTAGAGGGTAGATGGGACTGACTGATTCTCAGGGACAATCTCCCCCCTACTCCCTCACTCCACCAAGATTTACCGATAGTAGTAATTCAACTAGATTAAAAAACGTAAAGAAAATATTAACCTTAATGACTTGGCTGTCTGATTTGTCTGGATCTTCTGCAGATTGAACAATCAGTTGTCCAATTTCTTTGTGAAGTTTTCCCATTGTCATTGCCTCTGAGTAAGAAAACAAAACACCACATGTGAAATCACCTTTTCTGTGATATCTAGAAATGCATGTGAACAACAAGCCAAACTGAGGAGTGTTTTCATGACAGCCATGGGAAATCTGTTGGTAAAGGCAGTAACTGGCATATCAACAGCCCTGCCAGCACCTCTGAAGTGGCAGATGATAAGGAGAAACAGATGACAAGCAACATAGAAGCTTTTCTTTCAAATAATCCCCAATCTCCAAGTACTTAATGCAATGTTTTTCTAAGGACTCATGTGATATCTCTGCATTCAGCTGAAAGTCTCTGCCATGTAACTAACTAATGTTATTAAACCTCAACTATGCATTTGTTGGAAGATGTCTTGCCAAATTCCAACTTTCACGAGTCCTCCAGGGCTGCAATTAAAGGCAGAAGCTTACACACTGACTTTCAGAACCTGGATGGAGGAAGGATCAAAACTGCTTGACCTACAGCAAGCTTCAGCAATTTCTAAACTCTGGGATAAATGGCCTCTAAATCCAAACTATGAAAAGCAACCAACCTTTTACTACAGGGGAAACAGTGATCTCACTGTCTGCCAAATTCACATACACATCATAGAGGTCTGGTCTGCTGTTCACTTCAGAATCTGTAAATCCAGCAATGTAACCTAGAGAGCAGAATTTAGCACGATTAGGATCTTCATAAACAAATCCAAACCAAACCCAAGACATTGAGGAAAATCACAGTCCTAAAATCTGCTCTTAAAGTATATGACACAATACACACTGGATTCAGGAGGTTACTCTGGTATTATCAGCCATTTAACAAGTGTGTTCAGCAGATGCTTCACCTCCAAGGAGCATAAAAAACAACTTCTAAAACAGCTTTGAACACAGATGAACCCCTAACACCACATTCAGTACAATAATGTTATCAACTTGAAATTTGAAACTCTCTTCCTAGAGAAACTTTGATTTAAAAATATAAATAAAATATTAACCTTGCTACTAAAATGACTCATTTGCAAATGGAAAGGCCACTGAACTTTCTCAGTAAAAAAACCTTCAGTCTGCAGCCCCTTGTCATGAAATCAGTATTACATTGGAAGAGAGAAGTAAAACCAGGAGATTTTTTTATTCATGTTATGCCAGGTGAGCAAACTTAGAGCAATTTTCTCCATGGAAGACATTCAATCAGCTGAAACAAGCAACAGATGCAGTAGAAATGTTGAAGATGAGTAGTCTTCTAGCTCATCATTCTGTATAGAGAAGCCTCTTAATGGCCACAGGATGTGTCATGCTAACTCCTGCATAAACCAAGGGCCTCCTCCTGGATTATGCATTAGGCACTGCACACACAGAGAAATGTGTCACACAGACCAAACTCCTGTGTATCTGTAAAGTCTACCTGTGCTTAGGAGCCAGAGATTTCACTGGTATCAAAGTAAAAATCTGGAACTTCAGAGTGAGGAACTCAAAAGATTCAGTTACAAGTGATGTGTAGAAGTTGGGAAAAAAAAGTAGCTTATCTACAGTGAACTGTTTCTGTAGAACAGAAAGACCTTCAATCCCTCTAACCACAACATCAGGGAAATCTCAAGGCTGCTTTGCATCTGTGATCAGGGATAGACTGATGTGTATCCACCCAAAATCACCAGATGAACCAGTTATCTTCCCACATACTTGTTTAATTGATTTGCCTTTTCTAAAGAAAAATGATGCTGTTTAACTTTGAACAACAGCCTTAACAGCAAAATCATCATTTTTTTCCCCTCCCAAGGGCACTGCTCAAGACCCTGCAGCAGCAGAAACTGAAATGAAATTCTTTTTACGTTTTTGATTAATAAATTATCCCTACCTGTGCAGGCTTTTAAGGCTTCCACTTCCTCCTCATTTAGATGAACATATGAATGCAGAATTGACCAGTCTTGTCGATGCCACACCAAAGCAGGCAAAGTCCTAGGGGGATCAGATTGGAACTTGACACATGGTGGATTTCCACTTATGCTAGCCAAAGTCTCACAGGATGAAATGCATGGCATGAGAATGATGACTAGATCTCATTTAGTTGGATGTACATGAACTATAGAGATTTCTGCTGTCAGTGTAAGCAGAGGTTATCACCCATACTGCTAAATATCTCTGAGTTGATGAACATATGGCTAAAACCTTAAAGAGGGATTTATCATAATTTCAATAAACATGTTTAAGAAAGTTTTTTTATCCTAAAATATTAATTTTTCTCTCAATGCATGTTCAAAATTTATTGGACTCCTGGGGGTGGGTGGGAAGGAAAGGCCTCACAAAGTACCTGGTGAACTCCTGGATTGCTTCTATTCTGGGATGGTACACTACAATTCTCTTCTTTAACATCAGTGCTGTGTATAAGATAACTGTTTCCATTCCAAACTGAGACACTATATCTGGAAAAGAGGGGAAAACTATTTTATAGAAGATGCACATGCTGAGGTTATCACTTGGTTTTTGAAGAAGCTTAATAAGAACAGCACAGGCTGTGTTGTAGGAGAGAAATCAGACTAGAGACTTCTGGTAGCAACTAACCTTTGATGGAACCAGCAAGGTAAGCCTTCCGAGCATCAAAGTCCTTGCTGAGGAAAGATCCATTCTCTTCACTTTGGCAGATGCCCTTTGTAAGGACTGCAATGTAACTCTCCATCATTTTGACTGGGCTTCCATGCTTCAGGTAGATTCTGTGTGAAAAGAAGAGAGCCTTGTGTCAGCATCAGTATATATGTGAAAAATGAAAATCCCCGCCACAAAAAGCAATATGCTTGGCAACAATTCATGCTCTGGGTGCCTGGGTGAGGTTTTAAATGCTGAGCTAGAAGTCTTCCAACAGGCACACAAACATGTGTCTGTCTTTTAGGATATAAAACTATATTTTTATTTCAGTTTTCCATGTTATGAAAGAACCAACATTGACTAACACAGAAACATACCACAGAGGTGTAGGCAGGTCCAGACTACAGATTCTTTGCAGATTTGGAAAGTACCTGCTTTATGAATAAGCAACTCCCACAGTAATTCCTGTTATTACATGCAGAGCATGTGGCTAGTTAGTTTTACATTTTTTGTCCAAGTACCTTTTGAAATTCTTCTGTTCTCTTTGTTAAATAATGAAAGAAAAATCTAACTATATCTTTGGTACTCATTAAAACCCCAAAACAACACCACCCATGCACTCTTAGCTGCCTTCCTGGCAGCAGAGAGAGACACCATAACCTATTTTACAGGTTAAGGGACTTCAGGAATAGCACTGAAGCTCTCAGCTACGTGTACAAAGCTATGTCATGTTTGAATTATGTTCAAAGGAATCAATCCTGGATTGGAAACAAAGTATTAAGAACAATCAGTACCCTGCAGAACTAGTAAACCTGAGGGCATTCCCAAATCTGTGACACAATAACCTCACAACTGCATCCAATGAGCTGCAAAATCTCAGGGAATATTCTTAGTATCAAGAACTGGGACCAAACTGATTTGGGAATTGAAGGAAAAGCAAAGAAAGAAACAGAGATATGAGAATGGGGATGTGGAGGAAAGTGAGTAGACACAACAAGGGAAGAAGATGGTTGGAAGAAGGGCAAGACAAAGGGCTCTCATTCCCTAGAGGAAAAGTAAACACATCCCTAGGGGCTGTGCTTAGCTCAGAGGAGCTGCAAGAAGCATCTACAGTAGAGATGCTGCAGAGGGATGCAAGTTGTCCACCATACATATTCAGACCTTTAAGTACAGCACTGACCGCTTCCCAAACATTTACACTTGTAAAAAATATGTTCTCAGAGAAAACAAATGGGTGGGTGGGTGGTGGTGTGTGTCCGGAGAAGACACACACTCAGACCTGATGGACATCTGACATTCACCCAAAACTTCCTGCATAAACTGAAGATAAGCTCAAACCAAGGATTTATATCTCCTGATTCTGTTTGTAAGACTGAGCTTCCAGCAGATTGTTAGACCAAGTGCAACACAATGAATTTAACCTTCTGCTCTGGCAAGATCTAAGCATGTGGACAGCAGAACCCCAGACCAGCTGTTATACAGACCTGCAGAGTATCCTCGTGAAGGCTGCATATTTCTCTGGGTTGAAGTCTTTGGCCGTCAGGACGATGGAGAAGTGAGTCACCTGCATGAGACATGCACAGAAACACAGCTTAGTTAACGAGCCCCATGAACAGTCAGTCACATCACTGCACTTACTGCAGTACTCTGATAAGGCATTTCAATTAACAAAAGAGAGGAACAGCAGCAGCAGATCCAAGTTCCTAAGTGCAGGAATGGTCTGGATAATGAATTTCTTATGTGACTCAGCTCTAGGACATCCTTTGCTTAACCTATGCTACAAGAGTTGCTTTTCCTTTATTCCCTTCCAGAACTTGTTGCCAAAAGAGGCTGTGGAGGCAGAGAGCATCAACATATTTAGAAAGAGACTGGAAAATAATGCACAGATAGCAGGGCCACAAACAGAACTGCTCTTTAACTTCCTTAATTGAATGACTGTGGGCTGGGACAGTGTGAGGCTGAAAGTTTGCAGACAGTGACTAGGCTCACGTGTCCTCCTTAAATAGCATCTCCCTCTACCACTGTTGGAGACAGCACTGGGACACCTCATTTTATTTACATCTTTAAGGTTCATAGGAGATGTAAGCTTGGAGTGAGGAAAGGCAAGCAACATTCTGCTCTGGGCATGCAGAATTGCCACGTTATCTTTCTAACTTAACAATATAGCATGAAAATTGAATAAGCTTAACAGACAATTTAATGATCTTCATAACAGGGAAAGGATGGAAGATACCAGAATACTTGTGTCTTCCAGGAGTCAATGCAGTGGAATAGAAAGTACCTATATAACTTGACCCACTGGAAAAAAAAAGCATCAAGTTTTATACAAACAAGATTTTGGGCACTATGAAACAAACTCTACAGAGAGAACAAACTGCTGAACTTGAAATACAAATTAACTAGAACTAATGGTATGAAATAGCATTTCCATGTTAATACAAAGACTGTAAATTGGGTAATGAGTATCTCAATCATTCTGCAATTCCATCCAATCTATGTCTTGGTAAAAAATGAAAGATGTGGACTGGATAGACACCCTGAACCCTTCTGTTCCTCACAGCACACAATGGGAAAACACTGCTCAACCTGTCAGAGGAAGCTCTGCAGAAGTCTCCCCTGTATTCTACTGGAAAACCCGACCATGTCTTACCTTTTTCAAAGCTGGAGAATCCTGAACTTCCACAGTTGTGATGTAGAACCAAGACCTTTTATACTGGCCAAAAACAAAGGTGTGGAGCAATTTGTTCTCATCTGTAAGGCAGCACTTTCTCAGCAGCAGAGTCCTCAGCTCAGCCGTCACGGATGGATAACACCAAACCCACAGAGCATCTCCGTTGGTGTCTTTTTCTATGGTGGAAAGATGTTCACTGTGAGAACGTCAAACAGCAGCAAGGAAGTAAATCGATGGGTTAATCAGGTTCGTTTCCTGGAATCAGATTCAAATTCCACCTTATCCTCACCCTATACATCCAGTTCTGCCCCTGTGGCTTAACCCTTAGGGCAGCACTTCTGCTATGCATTTTTTGTCCATGATTGTTAATAAACACCCACTCTTGGACCTGCTTTGAAGTTTGAACACGCAGAGCGAAGCGCTGAAGGCACAACAACCCCGCGGTGCTTTTGCTATCGTCGATTTCGTAACGCCACGGATTGAACACGCTCGGGACGAGCTGTGCACGGCTCAGCTCCGCAACAGGCGGCCCGAGGTGCGGGCGGGGACCCGGGACCCTCGGCACGGCTCGGCACGGCTCGGCTCGGCTCAGCTCAGCCC